AAAAGAAAATAAAAAAAAAAAACAAGAAAAAAGGCTTCGTGGGGGCCGTTTCGGAGCCTCTTCGGCCTTCTTTTGGGCCTCCCGGGGGAGCTCTCAGGGCCCTCTCGGGCCGTTTTGGGTGCCTCTTGGGTTACAACTTCCCCATTGGCTTGTGGCTAACATGCCCCAAGATAGATTTTAGTAACGAATCTGTCAACATGTGAACTGTCGATTTCAATGCGGCCTCTGATGGCCACTGGCGGCCCCGCTGGCGGTTTCCCCGCGGCTTCTGGTGGCCACTGACGGTTCCCCCGCGGCCTCTGATGGCCACTGGCGGTTTCCTTGCGGCTGCTCCTGGAAAATTCGGCAAGAACCCTGAGGCAGACCCATGGGCTCCCAGAACTGTTCGCCCTAAACCCCAAGTCCAGAGTCCTAATTCTTGCCCTTCGCACGAACCACTAACCACTAACCACTAACCACTAACCGCGAACCATGAACCACCAAACCCACTCGTACTCGCACTCGCATTCGTATCCTTACTCGTACGCTTGCTCTTCCCCGCGCTCGTACTCGTACTCCTGGAGACGGGGGGGCGGGGGCCAGGGCGAGGGTTTTCTTTTTTGCCACACTGCACGGGCGATATGGGGGAGGACGCGAAGGCGTGCATTTCAAACGTCTAGCTGGCGGGGCACGCGTCGCATCACTCCTCATGCCTTCTCGGCGCAAATCTTGCACAAAGGGTATACAGTAACGGGCTTCCCTCTGCCACTCTTGTGCAACTCTGGAACGGGGGGTCGGAAAATCAAACCAACGAACCCCCAAACCCTTCCACGATCCCCCTTCGTCCCTCCATGCCCCATTCCGCTTGCCCCTTGCCCACTTCCTCCTCCTTCCACTTGACTCCTTTCTCCTTCCCCCTCCCCCTCCCCCTCCTCCTCCTCCTCATCCTCCTCCTCCTCATCCTCCTCCTCCTCCTCCATCCTCCATCCTCCCTCGTCGGGCCCATTCTCCGACCCCCCCCCATTGGCTATGCTTCAGGGCGCGGGAACCAGAATTTATATGATAGACTTCGCTACCACTAGCAAGCAACGCGCGAGCGGGCGGGCTCTCGCGGGGGGACGTCGGGGGCGCCCCGGCAGGCGCAGTCGGAAGAGGCGACGGCGGCGGCGGCGGCGGCGACGTCGTGCAACGACCGAGCCACACTCCGAACATCAGGGCGAGAAGCGTTGAGAGCGACCACGCGATCCACAGGAGCATGTTCGGCCCTGGCGGCCCACGAGCCCAGGACGTAGGACGCAAGAACCTGGCACCTCGAACCGCGAGGGGCTCGACAGGCCAGGGGCCAGGGGTCAGAGTGGGGACTAGGGGCTAGGGATTAAGGGCTAAGGAATAGGGCAAGGAGCAGGGCGAGAAGGAGGAGGAGGGTGGAACGGGGGAGGGCGAGGAAAAGGAGAAGGAAAAGGAGGGGGGGATAAGAGGGGGGGCAGGGTAAGGAGCTATTCGGCGACTCTTCATCGTCGGAACCATCCTGGAGAAAGACCCAACCATATGCAGCTGCGAGCAAGACCATTGTGAGCATCGTATTGGGTCTCGGGTCTTGGGTGAAGCTGTAGACTGTAGACTGTAACTTGCAGTTCCCTGTCTCTCCTACTGCTCCCACCTCTCATCCCCCATCCCGCTCTTCATATCCCATACTCCCCCTACTCCCTACCCCCCACTCCATATTCCCCCTGCCCCCTACTCGCGTTGTCCCGTTTCTTCGCCCACGTCTCCTCCCCCATCCCCCTCCTTCCCCCACCCCCCCATCCTCCTTCCCCTCCCTCTCCTGGCCGCGCCTTTTCTCTGGTCGAAAACGCAGTACTCGGCGCAGTCGGGCATTCTCGCAGACCAGTCCGCACGTCGTGTTCCTCTCCTGTCGTCCCTCGTTGCCCCCTGCTGCTCATGCTGTTTCGTCAGGCGCGGCCACTCGTCTCTCTCCTACTCCTCCGCCTCCCCCCCTCCCTCTCCTCCTCCTCCCCCTCCTCCTCCTCCTCTTCCTCCTCCTCCTCCTCCTCTTTCCAACCTCCAGCCTCCAGCCGCCTTCGACCTCGATACTGTGGACCTGTAGACTCGAGCCCCTAGCCCCTAGCCCCTGGCCGCTAGTCGCTAGCCCCTAATCCCGAGTCTAGTCTCTAATTCCTAGTCCGAAGCTTGTAGCCTCTAGCCTCTAGCCTCTAGCCCCTAGCCCCCTAGCCCCACCTCCATCTCAGCCCTCACCCCTCTCTGCTCCTCCTCGCCCCCCGCCCCCTCTTCCTCCCCAGCGTCATCCTACACCTCTCAAGCCTTAAGCCTTAAGCCTTTAGCCTGTCCCTTGTCTCGCCCCAACTCCTCCTGCGAGTCGCCATCCTGGTCCTGCCCCCACCGAAATGCATTCTCACTATCGAGTTCGACGTCGCCCGCCTCGCCATCCCTCCTCCGCCTGGACCCGCGTCCTCGATTTCATCCCGGCCATTATCGTACTCCTCCCTCTTCAACCCCCTCCTCCTCATCCTTCTACTCCTCCTCCCAGCTCACCGTAGTTCGTAGTTCGTAGTTCGTAGTTCGTGAACTAAGCAGTCCTGCTGACCCCCCGCGCCATTTTCCCCTCCTCTTCAGATCTCCAATGGCCAATGCGTCCTCCCTGTGCTGCTCATGCTCTTGTTTCGTGTTTCTACCCCTCCTCATCCCCCCCATCCTCTCCCTTCTCCTCCTCCTCTTCTTTGCTCCCCCTACCTCCTACCTCCATTATCGTAGCGCGTAGCACGTGGCATATCAAAATTGAAAGCGGGCTGCTCAGCCATCCACTGCCTGGCAACCCGCTCTGCGCTGGCAATGCTCCGGCCAGCTGCACCTACGTCGATCCCCCAAGAAAGACGGCGATGCGAGGTGGTGGTCGAGGGCGAGGACGGGGGAAGGGGGGGGGGGAGGAGGAAGGAGGAGGCAATGGCCAAGGGACAATGAGTGAAGATGAAATGGAAAAGGCCGGTGACAGGGCGGTGGAGGAGAGGGAGGAGCAGGAAGCACAGGAGGAGCACGATGGGGGGTGAGAGGAGGAGCACCAGGGGGGCGGCAGGGAGCTGACAGAGGTGAAGACGGGGCAATGAAACGACGAGAAAGCGGGGGGCGGGGGGCGGAGGAAAACAATGAGCATGGCGGGGAAGGGGGGCTGGGAAGACGAAAGGGAGGACAACATGGGAGAGATGCAAAGGCGACTGCCCGCGGGACGGGGGGAAAGGGCGCAGGATGTAGGATGCAGGGCGGCGAGGTTTAGGGTTTCGTCGTGTTTCGTGTTTCGTGTTTCGGGTTAAGGGTGCAACGTTAGGGGCTGGAGGTTTTCGGAGGGCGCTGCGCGGGATTGCGGGGCAAGGCGCGGGGGGCGGGGGGCGGGGCGAGGGGGCGGGGGAAGGCGGATGGGGGGTGGAGGAGGAGGGGGAGGAGGAGGAGGAGAAGGAAGAGTTTGTTTGATGTCGCGCTCCTCACGGGGCCCGGGGCTGCCGAGCGGGGAAACGACAGGCCGACCTAAGGCCCGAGATGGCACGCGACGGGCCGAGGGCTCGAAGAAGCGACGGGGCCGAGGCTGGCACGGGGGAGGCCAGAAGACCCCGCCCCTGCCCCATACGCGCGAGCTGCCGCCCTGAATGCCAGCTGGATCCTATTCCATGCCGGCGACAGCGGCAATCGGAGTCGATGGCAAACAACGCATCAGATCAAGAAGGAAAGAGATCGAGAGAGAGAGAGAGGGGAGAGAGAAAGAGAGAGAGGAATAAAGAGAGAGAGAGAGAGAGAGAGAGATAGAGAGAGAGAGAGAGAGAGAGAAAGAGAGCGTGAACACAGGGCATAAAGCATAGGGCATAGGGCATAGGGCATAGGGGAGGGATAGAGAGAGAGTGATGGGGGGGAGAGAGAGAGAGGTAAAGTACATGAGAAAGCTGCAGGCTGGAGACTAAGAGAGAAAGAAATGGTGAGTGAGAGAGAGAGAGAGAGATATATAGATATATAGATAGATAGAGAGAGAGAGAGAGAGAGAGAAAGAGCGAGTCTGGAGGACAAGAGACAAGAGGCTAGAGGCTAGAGAGGCTAGAGGCTAGAGAAGCTAGAGAGGCTAGAGAGGCTAGAGAGGCTAGAGGCTATAGGCTAAAGGTTAGAGGCTAGAGGTTAGAGGCTAGAGAGGGCAGAGGCTAGGGGCTAGGAGCTAGGAAGACTAGAGGGCAAGAGGGCTAGCGGCTAGAGACCAAACAGAGGAGAGAGAGAGAGAGAGAGAGAGAGAGAGTAAGCGGGCAGGATACTGCAACATCTATGGAAGAAAGAACGCAGAGACATGGAGGCCAAATGATAGAGGATTGAGGCGAAGGATGGATAGAGGGATAGAGGGATAAAGGGATAGAGGATCGAGGGTAAAGGGTAGGGGGTAGAGGATAGCAAGAAGGTGGGAGATGGGGAAATGCTCGCGAAAGAAAAGCTGGCGCCCAACGTCCAACATTGCCCATTAATTTGGGTCCGCGCTCTGCCAGGCTGCCAAACAAAAATCTGCGTGCACGGAGCCTCCAGCAACGTACTCGAGAGGGACAGGGGTGAACTATGAACTATGAACAATGGGCTATGGGCTATGGGGTCACAACCGACAACCGCAAAAACTCAATCATGCCGCCCAGTAGCGAGCGCTGCCAAGACACGAACCCTAAACCTCGCCAGACTCCATGGACCCAAGCAGCTGAGTTGTCAACCTTGAAGGGCAGGCCGCTCTTCCCCCTAGGCCCCAGGCCCTAGGCCCGGGGCCCTTGGGCCTCAAGGCCGACGCCGACCCAGTGATTGTTGACCACATGACACTTTCAAGGGGGGGCCGCAGGCACGCGCACGCCACTTGGCGAACCGTCGGCAAAATGCCTGAGGGCACATATCGGACCTGGAAAATATTCCTCGGAAAACCGGCGCCGGGCATCCGACCTGAAATATCAATTCTCACTGTACTCTCTACTCTCCACTCTCTACTCTCTATGTTTTACTTACTTGTTGGGGTTGAGGATCTTGTTCACCATGTTGAAGATCGCAGGGTGGATCTGGGTCGTCTGGGCGCCCGCCGCGGTGACGAGCCTGATCTGTTTCATGATCGCATCCTTGGTGAGGTCCTTGCCACCGTTCTCTGTGAGGATGGCTTCCGTGCACGTGATCCTGCCCAACTTGAACACCTTCTCCGCTGCGTCGCGCTTCTGGACCGCGTCCGAGACACCGGGCCCCTCTGGCACACCCTGCGGGGCCGCTGAAATCCAAGCGCGGCCCGTCAAAAGGCTGGCCCTGGCCAAACCTGAGGGGGGATGGGAAGGTCAACTGCTAGCTCCAATGGCCCTGCGCCCTAACCTCCTGCGTCCTAGGACCGACGACCTACGACCTACGACGTAACCTGCAACCTACGACCTACGACCTACGACGGTTGACCTTCCCTCCCTTCCTCCAGGCGTGTCCAGGACTAGCCGACTAGCCACTAGCCACTAGCCACTAACCCTGAAGTTTAGCTTTCAGCTTTTAGATGTTAGCTTTTAGCCTGGAGCCTGTAGCTCTCTAGCCTCTAGCTCTCTAGCTCTGCTGCCCTGAGATTTCCCGCTCCCGGGCCTGGTACTTAGTCAAGACCTTCGTGGCTGCGGTGAGAGCATTCTGCAAGGCTGTCAACTTGCTGTGCGTATCCTTGGGGTTCATCGCGTGGATCGTCGACTTAGCTGCTTTCATGACTTCAGTCATCTGGCAATTATCCTTCAAGTTTTTCTTCCACGACTCGCCGTCTTTGCCGCCAGCGGCCAAAGGCTCGTAACCAGTAAGTGCGGCGCTCAGGACTTTCATGACCTCGTCCACCAGATGAAGGATGGCGTCGTTGCGCTGGCCCTTGGCATCGCACAAGCACTTGACCAACTCTTCATGAATGATCACGTTTTCAAATGACCCGAGCGTGTCCTCGCCGTCGTAGGCACTCTCCTCCAGCGGCTGGGCGTTGGCCTTCAACGCGGTAGCGACCACCCGGCAGAGCGCGTCCAACTGGGGGGGCTCGACCGCGCATCTTTTGATTTCTGGCAATGGCTGCTACTCTGCTACCCGGCCCCGCTCTGACATAAATCCTTGGCCCTGGAACCCGAGGCCCTCAGACCTCCCCCGGACTCTGGACTCTGGACCTCCAGACTATACGCTCTAGGCTCTAGGCCCTCGGACCTAAGATCTAGGATGCTAGACTCTAGACTCTAGACCTCTGGACCTCTAGACTGCAAATCTCTAGATCTCTAGATCCCCAGATCCGAGACGGCCCGAGACCCCGAGACCCTCGGAAAGGGGGCAGGAGGGCGGGGAGGAGGAGGGCGCCAACGGCAAGGACGAGGAGGAGGGAGTGGTGGAAGCACCGAATCCCCTTCGAGAGCATGGCTTGAAGCCTAGAGCTCAAAAGGTTAGAGCTTAGAGGTTAGATGATTAGAGCGGTCAAAAGTGAGAGGGTCAGAGGTTAGAGAGGCTAGAGGCTAGAGGCTAGAGGCTAGAGGCTAGAGGTTAGATGCCAGTGGGCGTAGAGGGTAGAAGATAGAGGGTAGAGACTACCGGCTGGAGACTAGAGACTAGAGGCTAGAGACTAGAGGGCTAGAGTGTGGAGAGTAGAGGTTAAGAGTGAATGATTAGACGTTGCAGGTTAGAGGTTAGAGGTTAGAAGTAAGAGGTTAGAGGTTAGATATTAGAGGTTGGAGGTTAGAGGTTAGAGGGTAGACGGCAAGACGGTAGAGGTTAGCAGGCAGAGAGTTACGGATTTCAACCAAATGTGTTCCTGGGGGCGGTTGCCCTTGGCATCCTTCTGATTCATGCGCTGCTCCATGGTGTCCCCAAGCTTCGCGAAGATAGTCTCCTGCTTCTTGATGTCCAAAACCGGCACTGCCATCTTCAAAACGTCCTTGTAGCACGCCGGGGTGGAGGACAGCATGGGGATCAACATCTGGACCGCCCCGGCAGCCTCAGGGCTGGCATCGGCCCTCCACTTCTCCAGGGTCTGCGTTGCGAACTCCTTGGGCAGCTGAAACGCCTAGGCCTAGAGCCTAGACCGACGACTCCCCATTCGCGGCCTGACATCTTGCCCGCGCCCGAAGATGCCAAATATAGCGATCCTCGGGCGCGCGCGCGATGTCAGCTCACGTTCACACCCTGGCCCGGCCACAACTCGTAGGGATCACGCTGGAACTTTGGATTTGGACCCTGGGGGCCCCGTGGGGCGACTGTTTCAATCCGCACCGGCCCGATCCTTGACGATGGAGCTCGCGAAGTTAGCGGCGGGCGCCGCTCCGTCGCTGAAGGTGAGGCCAGAACACTTCTGCAACGCCAAGGATAGAATACTCCGAGACTCCTCGCTCCGATCCGACTCGACCTTCAGCACTGCATTGTCGACGGTGACAAGCTTCTGCGCGCTGAGGGTCTCCTCCTGGACGGACGCCACTTTGGCCATGAGCCCTTTCAGCTTCTGCTTGAACGGATCGCCGCAAATCGGAACTGCGCTGGACAAGCTCGGGTAAAACTCTGCCATCACGCGCGCCCTGTACTCTGCGGACTGGGACCCGTTGACGGAGGCTGCAAGCGCCGTGGCTTTCTCGACCCAGAGCTTCTCCAACTCTGCGGTGGCCCCAGGCCGCAACTGTGCAGCCAGAGTAGGGATATGCTTCAGAATGCTTACGATTGTCCCCACTGTGCCTTGGTCGACAGCGTCGTCCTCCTCGACGCTGCAATCGGTCAGACTGCTCAGCACCTGGGCGAGACGCATCTTCCCGTCGTCCTCAGTCAAGGCAACGGCCTCCCACTCGGCGTACTTCGCCTCGAACGCCGTGTCAGCGGCGATGCTGGTCTGGAGCAGGTTGACTTTCTCGACTAAGTCTGCCAAGATCTTTCGTGCGCCTTCATCTTCTTTCGTAGCTGCCCCTGCGGCCTCTGCGTCCGACCCCTCGCCCTCCTCCGGTGGTGCAGGGAGCTGAGTCATCTGGCGGGTGGAACCCATGTTCATGGCGAACATGATGTCATCAGTGGACACATTGTACTTGTCGGCCGGCGCAGGGTCGAGAATGCCAACGACGCCCGTCAATATGGCGAGGAAGTCGCCCAGCAAGCCCTGGTAAGTCTCCCCACTGCCCTCGGACCATGAACCCCCATCCTCGAGGTTCTGCGGCGCCGCGTCAAGTATCATTTTGACCACCGCCAAGAAGTCCGCGAGGCGACACTCACAGTGGTTCACCAGCACCCGCATCAGTGCGTTGTCACTGAAGGTGGCGATGAAAATCACGCGGCGCTGGTTCGGCTCGAAGCTGCCCTGGAAGTCCTCCCACACGACGTTGCCCTGCTGGATCGCGTCCTGGTCGAGTTCCTGCGAAGGGAAGCGATCGGGGAAAACACTGAGTTCGAAATACAATTAGATACGTAGCACCCCGCAATTGCGGATAAGAGTGAGGGGGCGGGCGCGGGGTGGGTCGCAGGGTGTGTCGCCGCGGGGTGGGCCGCGGGTGGGTCGGGGGTGGGTCGCGGGGTGGGTCGCGGGGTGGGTCGCGGGGTGGGTCGCGGGTGGGTCGCGGGTGGGTCGCGGGTGGGTCGCGGGGGGGACGACGACAACAAACAACGAACAACAACAACAAGAATCCGCATCGCGGAACTCCACTTCAGCCACGCACCCAGGGACAATGAATGACCGTTCGGGCCCCCTCACTCTGATTAAATATTAGATTATCCGATGTTATACCTAGGAGCGCGAATGCATATGACTTGCATCCGCCGCCTATCCCAGACCAACCCCCCAACCCC